CTTACAGTTGATAGAAGTCTTATCTTGCAACACCAAACTCTTACCAGGGTACACCCTGCACATGAAATACCTTAAATAGTTTCCAAGTCAAAAAACTACATTTTCTAAGTGCCATAGCATTTTGGCATTACGATGACCTTAAAAACGGACTAATAAACCTATTTGTGAAAGTTTTGTACTGCTGATTTTGGGTAAAACTGGGAAAAAAGCCCATCTCCACTGAGTTCCAACCCCATGCTTTTTCTGCCAGACTCATTGTCTTACACAGAATGAATATATGCATAGGATCCTTGCCTGCGCCAAAGAATGTCTGAAGAAGATTGTCCATGAGGCAACATTTACAGGAAACCGTTCAGTTTTGCTCTTGAACCAAAGGACTGACAAATTCAATCTGGGTCAAGTTGTAATAATAGAGACAGCTGTCCATACAGTCAGTTGTCAATCATTTTTCTTTTGGGGAGGGGCTTTATTAAGACAAGGCAGTCAATTACAACTTAGAAAATGTAAACGTCTAAAGGATAGAGTGTTTTGTGTGATAACAGTTAAGCCCAGTGTTTTCCATAGACCTCAATACTTTATATCTGAACTGTTCTGTCAGTAACTCTCAAGGAGAGTGTGGACTATTAACAGGTGCAATTAGGGAGCCAGGGGCCAAGTGCAACAACCCAGCTTGTTTTTCAGAACAATTCATGGGGGGCCTCTTATTATGGAGTGCTTATTATTTATAGAGGAGAAAAACAAAGATCAGAAACATTGCCTAGCTTGCTTAAGGAAGGCCACAGCTGCTAAGTAGCAGAGCTGGATTTTGAACTCAGATCTATTGAACTGTAGAACTGTCTGCCAAGATCTATGGTGATCTATGCAGAATAAAAAGATTGAAAGCACCAAATGTATTTTATTAAAAGGAGATTAAATGTTCACCAAAATGCAATGTAACTCTCAAGCAAGGCTTCCCTGACAGCGAGTCAAGACTAACTGAACAGATTACATAGTTCATGGCCCAAAGTTTCTAGATAGAGAGTCTGCTGACCTTCGTACCCTCTCCAAAATGAGAAGAGTAACTGGACCCATCCAGCATGTGCCCCTCCCCACCACAAGGGAATGTATGCAGGAATGAAAGCTAGCCTGACTCAGCTGAAAACCCTGGCCCAGTCCTCCTCTGCAATCCATTTTCTGGATGCCTCTCTTCTTAGGACCTTTGTTTTCCTTCCCTCTCCTTCAACAAACTCCTCTCCTTGCTATACCCTCAAAAAAAGCTAAAGCCAAAAAATAAATAAATAAAAAAAAAAGATCAAGCAAATAATAATTCATCTTAATTCATCTTGTTCATAGCCTGACAGTGGTAGAGTTGTACCCACCAGCATGAGGTTGTACAGTGATCTGTAGTGGCCTATCCACATTACTGAAGGGCAGATGTTTCTGGTAGTAGCAATTTATTCCCTGGAACTTCCCTTTCCCAGCCGAGCATACTCTGATCTGGTTACTCTTGCCCACCAAAGAATCCTCAGAACTAAAGGAGGTTCCACATACTTCAGGTGTTCCAGCCTTACTTTAAGATATAGGCATTTCTCTAGTTGAATGCTGCACACAATACGTTTGCACTGGATGAGAAAAATTCAAATTGAAAGGGAAAAGTTTCTCTCAAAGTTTCCATGCTGCGGGTACGTCTCGCTACTGGTGGAGCAGTAACAAAGAGCAGCAATGGAACTAGGTAGTATTGGGTTGTTGGAAAAGTCATGACACATTTTTGCAGAGGAAAACACAGAAAAAAAATATGGCATGACTTTTCTGACAACCCAGTAGTTCTCGCTCTTGACTTAATATCAGAATCATCCATGGTTTCCGGGCAGTGGATTCTCACAGGCCTCCAGCTGGGAGAAGAACTACTCCAGACTAGATTAATACCTAAATAAACTTCATTTCCCTGGGTTTTGAGGTCCATTCTTACACTTTCTAAGGGTCTCATATTACCTTTATCTAAAATATAGATAACTTCAGAAAACAATTGATTATTAGCTTGATTTACTTGAGAAATAACACCATTTGCCTTCTTTTTTTTTTTTATTACTGCCAGAAGACGTAAGTTCTTGCCAGAGAGAGAGAGAGAGAGAGAGAGAGAATGAGCCTGTCCCCCTGTGTGGCATGGTCACATCACAATCCTTTTTTCTCCATTCCTCACCTCATCAGGATCATGAACATGTGTTCACATGCATCCAGTATGTTTTTCAGGCTGCCAGGACCAGGATTTGAACAGTGGTTGGCCATGTGGGATCTGGCTCTCTATGCCCAGGGCTTAACCATGGTGCTATGGGGGCAGCCTTGCCAGTTGCCATTGTTCATGGTGGTATATCTTGTGATTTTGCTTTAGAACCTCTTTTCCCACATCTACCCTGCCCCCCAAAACATTTCTCTCTAAACATTTTCCAAGTATAAAACTCACGGATGTGTGAAACAGACCAAGTTGAATTGTTTCAGTTACAGCCTGAGATACAGGCCTGGAGCCTCACACCCCGTGTCCACCACTGTCTTCAAGGCATTGAGCTTGAATATCCGGAGTCAGATTTAAATCTACGTTTTTTTTGTTTGTGTGTTTGTTTTTTTTTGGTGTGAGATTTTCACTGTAGGGCGCGTGCGCTTGCCAGACAGAGAGAGACATAGAGACAGAAAGCGAGAAATCACCCCCCAGGGGGGATGGTCACACCGCAATCCCTTCTCCTCCATTCTCCTCTCGGGATCTTGGGCACGCACGCACACGCGCCCGGCGTGAGTTTTAAGCCACTGGGTCCGGGACGCGAACCGCGGTCGGCTACGTGGGAGTCCAGCGACATAGCCATTACGCTAACTGCCGGTTCCCTAAATCTAAGTTTTTCAATTTCAGGTTGAGATCCCTTAGCAAAGGGGTCAGTGAACTTTTTCTGTAAAGCAGTGGAAAATAAATCTTTAAGGCTTTGTGGACTACATAGTCTATATTATAACTCTTCAACTCTGTGGCTGGGGGGGAAACCAGCCACAGATAATATGTGTGAGGACCAAAACATAAAGGAATCAGTATGGCCATGTTACAAATATGATTTATAGACAATAGAATTTGAATTTCAATAATGTTCGTGTTACAAAATATCTTTTTATTTATTTTTTTATGATTGCTTTAAGCCCCTTAAAAATGTAAAAGCCAGGGGTCAGCAGATAGTGTGGTAGTTAAGGTACTGAACTCTCACATGGCCAACTACTGTTCAAGTCCCCAACCTGGAGGCTTGAAAACCACACCAAATGCACATTCATACATGACCAAAATCCCAAAAGGAGAACAGAAGAGAAGGAGTGTGACATGGCTATCCCTGCTGGGAGGATGACTTTTCACTTCCTCTTTATCTTTCTCTTTTTCTATCCCTCTCCATTGAGTGAACACGCCCTGTGGCAAAAATCTTTAAAAATATTAAAAGCTATGCTGAACTCGCAGGTCGTGCAAAGTGATGCTCTGTGCTGCTGACCCACGTGACCCAGTTCACACGAGACCTCCCTGAGGATGCCACGCCCATGATCCAGAGCTGGCTGACCCTGGGGTGGGTTGTGGTGTCAGGGCCCTGTTGGGGTGCTATATCTTTCTCTCTCTCTGTCTCTCTCTCTGTTTCTCTCACCCCAGGGAACAAATAAATGAAACTTAAAAAAAAAAATAAGCAAAGCCAGTAGAAATCAACCCTTTTCCTATCTTAATAGTTTATGAAGTAGAGAGCTCATTCTGCCTGTTGGGGGTGCACTGCTTGGACACTGACTACTCAGAGCCTGAGGTTGCAGGGGCACACAGGTGAACGTGAAAGATGTATGCTTGTTACCTGGTGGAAACTGAAAGGGAATATTAGTAAGTTAGGGTTACAGGAGGTTGACAATACACAACGCTAATGTTATTCATGAACAGGGCACACGTCCAAATTGGATTAGAAGCAACACAGCCAAGCAGAATCCCTTTAACTTGACTTCCTCTTCTATTTCCGACCAGGAATCTACACTTTTCTTCCCCAAGTCAAGAGCATTTGTAATTATCGTCCTATCTAGTTCACTGCTCAGATTTGGTAACACCTTCATAGGGGGCACAGTCTGGCAAAGACTTCCAGTCCTTTTACTTTGGAGACTCAAAACAAGTTGCTGAGCGGAGTCTGCACTAAAACATCACAGCGGACAAGGCTGTGGAGGAGACATGGAGGAGACAAAGCAGGACTCCCCTCCTGCACCTTAGCACTGGGGCTTGGTGTGTGCTGGAGACTGGGAGGAGGCGGTGCAGTGCTTCATGACTTGTGCGCTCAACGGTGTCTTCAGAGTCATTTGCTCCTCTGAGACAGGCAGGGACCAGAGCAGCCTGATTCCCCTGCTACAAGCTTTTCAGGCAGTAAAGCATGCTAAAGTTCTACCTGCTGCCACTTCTCTGATATTCTTAGTTATGGCATATGTGGCAGCTGGGGACATATGGATGAATTATTGCATCTTTTTAGAAACAAGCCTTATAAAATACAAAAAATGAGAACATTATGTACTAACAATGGGTTCTCGCACATGTTCACTTCATGCTCTTGTCTCTACCAGATCCCCCGATCCATTTCAGTGTGCAGCATAACCAAGTTGACTTGCATTGCACAGTAACCACAGTGAAATGAACATGGCGTTGTCTTGGTTTTTCACGCATTGTGCTTGTCAGCACTGCCCACGCCATAAACCACTTAGACAGCAGAGCTTATGTGTGTTCAGTGTACCCTTTAAAACACTTCTAACCTTCCCGCAGTCCATTATATGATTCTCATTGCCGAAAATACAATATTAAAAAGCCAAAAAACATGTACTCACAAACTCAATACCCAGAGGCATCTCTGGAACGTTTCTTTTCTATAGTTTTGCTTTAGCTTTGGTTTAGTGCATTTAGCACAATAACTGCTCAGAGTGGTACTTGTTAAAGATGTGGCTATGATAACAGTGGCTGGAAATCTATTTTGTGAAAATGTAGTTCCCACCTGGTGCTGGTGTTTGAGTAATCTCTTCGGCAGAGGAGGTAGAAATATAACCTATAAAGACAAAGTAGAGAAATTACTGTGAAATATACTTCTCACATATATTCATAGATGTTCCCAATAATCCTCTAGTAACCAAAGTAAAAACAAGAAGGTTATTGCAGGCTTTCCAATTTAAAATCAACGATAAGTCAGTTTTGAGATATCTCCCTTCTCTACCTCCCTTAGGACTTTCTTCAAAGAATTTCGCACAGAGTATCCACTTCTTTTGGAAAAACCTATTTCATGCCAAGCTGAAAATATTTATAAGTTTGACATCCAGTCTACAGCTTATCTCAAGGTGACCTTCGGGGATTCATTGAAGTTTAGAGATGAGAAGAATTTTAGATAGCAGCTACTCAGTGCTTTATTTAATAGGCAGAGGAAACTGAGGCCCCCAGAGGTTAATTGATTTCCCTGCTCTGATGCAAAATTCTGGCCATTCGTCGCTGGAGAGATGAGCAGTAATGGAGTGCCCGGTGTGCTTGGCAGTTGGCAGTGCACCTACGTGAAGACCCAGGTTTCACTTTTAAAGAATTTATAGTCATGGGGTCCCTGATATCCAGTTCTTGTAACTCTTTCCTGTAACAATTAATTGGACAGCCAGGAAAGCTTTCATCTTAGCTCTTGGAAAGGAAAAGAGGTGTTTCTTAGTCATTCTATATGTGTGCTTTACTTTTCTTCTTTTTAGAGAGATTTTTTACTATAGGGCATGTGTGCTTATCAGAGAGACAGAGAGAAAGAAAGAAAGAGATCACACCCTGCCCAGGGGGATGGCCACACTACAATCCCTTCTCTCAGGATCTTGGGCATGCATGCACGCACGCACGCACACATGTCTGGTGTGAGTTTTAAGCTGCTGAGTCCAGGACTTGAACCGTAGTTGACCACGTGGGAGTCCAGTGACATAACCATTATGCCATCTGGTGGGCCCCTTAAGTGTGTGCTTTTCAAACTGGTGTAACTGCAGGGATGAGTAGTGAGATACTCTAGATAATCTGGTCCAGAAACATGGAACATTCTTTACCAAAACAGGTGAAAACAAATCGTTTTTCCTTCCCTTCTTCCTCTTCCTCGATTGTGCTGTCTCTTCATTTTTTCTTTACTTCTCTTCCTTTTGCAATTAATATCCTACTGTGTTTCAAGAACTGTCCTAGATTCTGGAGACACATAAAGCAGTCACAGTAATACTAGGCCCCTTGAACCTTCCAATTAAGTCAGTATGTTATGACCTAATATGTAAATTTTGTATTAATTTTTTTTTAGAGAGATTTTTGCTATAGGGCACGTACATGTGCCAGAGAGACAGAAACAGAGAAATCACCCCCCCCCAGGAGGGATGGCCACACCACTATTCCTTCTCATCCATTCTCCTCTTAGGATTTTGGACATGCATACACATATGCCCAGCGCGAGTTTTAAGCCTCTGAGTCTGGGACTCGAACTGCAGTCAACCATGTGCGAGTCCAGTGACGTAACCACTACACCATTTACTGGTCCCAAATTTGTACGAATTTTTAAGTAACACTTTTAGAGGGTCCTGGTTTACAGTGTAATTTCCTAGTAAAAGTGATCTAATGTTGCACTTTCCAATTTATAATATAGAGTCAGCCCATAGCTTACTGTTCAGGGAGCCAGAGCCTACATGAATGACTGCAATGTGACTCCTGGCCCCAGTGGCTTGAAAAACATGCCAGGCACCTGTGTGCATGCGCCCCAAATCCCAACAAGATGGAGAAATAGAGGGGAAAGAATTGCAGTGTGACTCTGTCCCTTCACCCTTCCTTTCTTATGTCTCTTTTTGGCAAGTACAAGTGCTCTCTGGAATTAAAAAAAAAAAAAAATTACAGGATTTTTTCTTAGCATCAGAATCTGATTTTTGAATAAGATCTTTAGCTTTCCTTGACTACGCTAAACTTGTTCTTTCTCAGAACTTTTGTCCTCGCCTTTTTCTCTCACTTCAGTACCCTTTCTGAATGTGTAGGGTTGGCACCTTTTCACTGTTCAACTCTTAGTATAAATGTCATTTATTCAGAGAAAATTTTCCTCTTACCATTTTTTTTCATATTTTACCTTTAATTTATATCTGTTTATGAAAGTAATACATTCCTCTCTGGTCAAATTAAAATAAATTAATAAAATAATTCTTTTAAAAAAAGAATGTAATACAAATATTACATACTTAATATTATATACCTTCAATGCAATATTTCTTTTGCTTTGGCATCTCAAAACAAAATAAATCCTTTGATTTACTTTTAATCTACTATTAGTAGAACTCAATTTATATTAAAATCATTATTAGTGATTTTGCTGAAATAAAGGCAAGAAAAATTAATTTATGCAATAAATAACATTTATAAATACATAATTTTCTATTTTAATTTTTAAAACATGTTGATTTTTATTTATTAGTATTTTAAAATTTATTCTGTTATGCATCTAACCACTGTCTATCATTCCAGTTTGTAAAATGAATTTTCTCAGAAGGAATACCTGGTATATTAGTCCAGTTCAAGATATTATCATATACGTTATCATCAACAGATAATTTTTCATTTTTGTGTCCTCTAAATGCTTTGCCTCTTGTTCATGCTTTTATCTTCCCTGGCTTTATTTTCTTTGTATTAATTTTTTAAATATTTATTTATTTATTTCTATTTGTTATTATTGTTTTTTAATTTGACAAGGAGGGGGGGAATGAGAAAGCAGGCTGCCAGGTCCAGGACTCAAACTGCTATGTGGGAATTCAGCACCTTTAACCACCATGCCACCTGCCGGCCCCTCTTTGTATTAATTTTTACTCTCTCCTTGTTTTTGTAGTTTCACTTGTTCATTTCATTGTGTGTGTCTGCTCCTGCCCTTCAGGAGATCTTTCTACCCCACCCTAGCTCACTCAGGGAATCTTTCTGCCGTGGCCTCCTCAGTGCCTGATTCCACACTTAGATTACAGAATAACTATGGAATGAACCAATGAGTGAAGGGATTCAGGGACTGGGAATCAAATCATTTTGGAGAAAATGATTCCTCATTTGGAGGGTGACCTCTGGCAAATTGAGAATTGGTAATACTGGCTTTATCCTTGGGGTTACAGGAGAAAGAAAAACAAACTTAACCTTCAAGTTTTCCACATGAACTTATGAGTAAAGAAGGAAAAACTGCTTTTACAGGGACCACCAAGTGGTGTGGTAGTTAAGGATGCTTGACTCCCACATGGCCGACTGCGGATCTAGTCCTGGACCCGGTGGCTTGCTTTCTCACTTTCTCTCTCTCTTGCTCTCACTCTGTCCCTCTCTGGTCAAATAAATAAATAAAGTTAAATAAAATAATTCTTGATAGAAAGTGGTCAGATATGGAGGATCTATTGCTGAGTGAAGTAAACCAGGCTATGAAAGAAAGATATTGTATGTATCCACTCAATATATACCGACTATCCGCACTCTATGGAAGAGAGCGAAAAATTGGA